GCATTTTTGGAAAAATTATTTGGCTAGGTTAAAAGGAGGTTTCAGGGCTGATATCTGGTGTATAAGTGTATTCCTGGGTGTATTATTATGTGGTTAATTTTCGTTGAATATGGCCGAGTAGTTTTTAAAAAGATCTGTTAGTTATCAATTCTAGTCTATTTTCCTAGCAGCACCCAAACGAGCATTGTTTTGGCTATTTATCCGACTTGGTTGACTTCCTATTTACTCATCACTATGTTTTGCATGCTTTATTTGTTCTAAGTGATGTTTATATGGTTTATCGAGTCTAGATGGTTAGCCATAAGTTCCAAACTCCATTAAGAATTCCATGAATCACTTAGTCGATACGGTTTCGGCCAAGTGAATGTTATTGTTTGTGTCTTAAGTGTTGGGTTAGTTATTGATAGGACTATCTTGATAATTGTAGGTGTCTTACGAGCCGAGCTCTCTACCTACACGTGTCTATTGTGTTATCTTCTGCTTTTATCCAGGTGGGTTTATTTAAATTGCTATGTCATAAATTGTTTATGTGTTTGTTGGGTTGGTATGATAAGTGTATGCATATGAACCATGTAACCTTCAATGTGAGTTTTATGTCCTTCGAACGGTTTTTCCTGTCGATGTGAGTTGTATGTCCTTCGACGGTGCCCTTGTGAGGCAATCTCCTTAAGTCCTGATATGGGCGTACCCTTGTGTGGTACGTAAGTCCCTATGAAAGGCCATGCAGTTGAGAGTTGTATGTCCTTCAGTATGTACTCCCATTGTTGAGAGTTGTATGTTCTTCAATGGCTAATGATAGATGTGTACACAAGAGTAATGTGAAATGGTGTGTTGATTGGAGATGTGACATTTGGATTGATTTATGTTCATGTTGCGACCATACCCTATGTTGTTATTTACGTGCATAGTGGTGAGCACCACATATTTCATTTGTTCTCACGCCATTTTTCTTCACCAGGTTAAGCAGGTTGCGGGCATGACGAGAAGAGGACGAGTGGGTTGGCCATATATTATGTTATTTGCTTCCGCTTATTGATCATGTGGGCCTTTATGAACTTGTTGCTTTGGTTCTATAGATATGTTGGTTTCTTTCAATCTTATATTTTGAAAATGTTGGGAGTTGGATTGTTTCGAAACTTCTGTGTTTTCATTCATTGCGTTTTGAATCAGATTGGATTGGATATTCATGATTATGTGTTTAAATTGAATATCATGTGAGTATTTGGTTATTCAGGCTGTGATGTTGAGCTGAATAAATGTTTTGTTATCGATTAATGAAAACCATGTGAAAGTCGTGTAATGAATCCTCGTGAGATCAGACACTACTTGATCTATGTAAAGTTTTGAGTAATGCTCATGATTAAAGTTTGTTTCGATAAATGAATTTCAAAAATGTTTTATTGATTTTCTGAAAGTCCGGAATTTCTTTAAAATCAAAGTAGGGTGTTAGAGTTGTGGTATCAGAGCGAGGTCTACGTTTCTGTAGACTGCTCTATGTGATTATGTGATTATGTGACAGTATGTGTGACCACTCATCTTCGTCATGTCGCATTTCTCAAAGGTATGTCTTATGTAAGTAATAATGAGATTACTTATAATGTGATTTGTGTTTATGCTTTTGCATGAGTAGCAATGAAACTACTTGTGATATGATTTGCTGATTTTGATATTTTGGGGCTTAGGAAGATCTATCCTCCTTGAGAGAATGTGAAATCTAATGTTTAATGTTGAACTCTAGTGATATAGAGTTAGGTTCTGACTCTAGAGGTTCCTCGTTGTGAGTCTTCAGTATATTTTTACCGAGTTAAGCTCTGCCCATAGCATTTTCTTGCTATAAGATTTTGTTCAGTGTCCTCGAGTAAGGACCATTCGCAAGCCATCTTGAAAGAGAAGGCTCAAATGAATGTTTTATCATGTGAGTTGCATGCATGTTTGATTGACTGGTTGTTGATCCTGTGTGTGTATTTTTAGTTGTTAGTATGCAAGCTTAAATCAGTTTTAAAAGTCTACAACGGCATGCTTAAACTTTGAGATCGTTTGAAGGGGGTTCTTGTGATATTATGAGCCTTATGTTTTTGCCTTGCTGCATGAGTCTGATGTTCTGATTATAAGCTGTAAATTCCTGTTGAGGTCTATGTTATGATATGCTAGAAATCATGTTTTAGGATTTTAATTAAGTGTTTTATGAATAGGGGTTTAATTGATGAAGTTTGAGCATGATTTGCATGAAAATTTCTGTGGTCAGTGCCTCTGTTGTGAGCTTGTTTTGACCTTAGGAACCCGTTTCTTGGAGATATGTTCTTCTGAGGAAATAAAGTATATTCTGTTATCTTTTTGTGGCTTTTGGAATCTTCGAAATACGATATAAAATGAATTTGTTATAATTTTTACAAAAAATTTGTGCACCCAGTTTTATGAAATCGTGACTGAGCGCATAGGGTTAATGTATGATATGTTTAAGGGTATCAATCGTGCTCGAACATGAAAGTGTTCAACATAAAAGTTGTAGGAGCATGACTTAGGATCATTTTCCAACTTGAATCATGATCATATGACGTGTGTCTGCTGAGAACTTCATCCATTATAAAATTGTTGCGTGTTTTTATTTTTGCAAATTGAGTTGTGAATTTCAAAAATTAGTTTTCGTCATTGTGCATACTTATGTGCCCTATATGACTTAATTTGATTGGTGTTACATTATTGACTGGAAAACTTACGAAAGAAGCTTTACACTAAGATCTCGAAGTGTGGAAGCTATCGGCAGTGTATGTGGATTGAAATCGTTTAGGACTACCAGCACGATTAGCTACCTGAGTAAAAACTGTCATGACGGCCGACACTGTTAGTCGGAAGAGTCAAGCGAGCTAACCATTCTATTGTTCGGCGATTATCGCTGAGTTAGGATTATTCCTGGGAGTGATGCCAATGTTCGATTCCTTTGGGAAATTGTTGTTGTCAAACCCAAACTTTAGTAGCTTTGGAAGTCTTGTGGAGAAACTTTTTTCCTATCTGAGTACCTAGGAAATTATGAACCCGGAAATTGAAATTTCTGATATGTACCTCGAACCGAACGCCGACCCTGGCTAGGTGTAGCTACGCGAAGTGGTGGTCGAGCACGCACGCCCGAGCTGAGAGACGCGTTGCTAGCGCGCAGCTTACTGTCGACTCGTTCGTGAGCTGCAGCCGCCATCACCGAACGCACAAACTCCCCAGGCCAGCGTGTATGGCCAAACCTAGACCTTGTAGTTGGTCTCTGAGTGGGTACACGCATGCATCCCAGCGCCCGCATATGCAGCGCTAGCGTGTGTGTCATCTCTCGGTTGACAGTGCATTAAACCCGGACCGACCTTCTCCTTGTGGAGTCTTGAAATCAGTATTCTTGGTCAAAAATGGTATGTTAACCCTTGAAACCTTTCCTCTCGAGCTTTACACTGAGAGCGCCATGTTCCACTGATTCGTTGTGCAAATTCCCTAATCAACAGCTCTCGATTATGCGAGACTTGTCGAATAGTTTCCATTTCCACACGCGAGATTTTTCCCGAGATGGTGAGAAAGAAGTCCCGCATTGATGTTGGGCGGAGTCTTAAGTCTCGATTGGAGACTATGTGTACTTCGTAGAAACCGACCCTTTTGGTTAGACAGTCGGAATATACTATCAAGACACGAACACAAAGTTAGGGTCTTGTGTATTGATAGACGGATATTAGGTGAGGATTTCCTTACCATGGGTAGGTACGCTTGTAATGATGATGAGCAAGCGACGATTCCGATGGCACCGTTTAAAGTGTTAGTACGGTCAGAGGTGTTGTAATACTCCATTTGATTGTGGATTATTTGGTGTTATTATTTATTTATTTTTATTATTTGTTCTCTTTATTATTATTATTGTTATTATTTGCCTATTTGAATATTGTTATTGTTATTAATATTATTTGTTGATATCCGGATCAGCCTAGCCGGAAATTAACGGGCCGGTCTGGGGAACCGGGTAAAGCCGGACTCTTGCCGGAGCCGAGCTACGAAGTAACAAGAAGTGCCAAGTTGAACCGAGAAGTTATGTAACCGGGACCAATGAGGGGACATTTTTCGAGCCCGGCACCTGGCTCAGTAAGATCCGTGCCGGTCTCACTAGGCGCCGGTCTGAAAGAAGAATTCTGAGCGTCGCGCAAGCCCTTTCAGAAGAAGTGCCGACCAGACAATCTTGAGCGGCCATCTCGGACAAGAAGTGTCGAGCTCAGTGCCAATAAAGTATTCCCACTTGGAAAGTCATCATTGGACGATGGGACGGAATGTCATAGTCTACTACTCTATGTCAAAGCCTAGCCGGAAAGCCTATTGACATTAAATGCCCCCATGCTGGCATTAAATATCTGACATGTAATGATTGAAGAAACCTCAAATCACATTAAATAACTGTCAGAGAGGCGCCGAACTGCTCTGCAGGATTACTGTATGACAAAACAGGTGAACAGTGCCTGAACAGTGCCACATTTAAGGACACTATAAATAGCAACCTACGTCATTTATTTTGGGTTGTTGAATCTCAACTAACTCAGCTATCTCTCTACTTTCTCTCTCTAAAATTGTAAGAAAACTCTTGTAAGGATTGTGAGTATATCACAAGTGGCGACTTCGTACGAGAGTCCGACCTCGTGATCGTTTAATCAAATCATAATTAACCTTAATCTTTCTCTTGTTTCAGTCCCGCACTTTCATTTGTATTTATCTCAACCGTTGACCGAAAACGCTTGTCAACAGTTTGGCGCTAGAAGAAGGGCACCATAAGTTACTTGGTGTCAACGTTTCAATCTTGTGGAAACACCACATTGCATTTCTCTCTTTTCTGACCAGTTTCAAAATCAGTTCTTGTCTTCTCTCGCGATGGAGAGTATCCGTCTTCTCATATGAGAGTTTCTTCTCCAGGAGGAGGATCTTCTTCGTGTTCGGAGGACCTTGTGCGGTGGGAGTAACCTCCTGGTATATTTGTGGATAGGGTTTTCATGGAGGAAGAATTAGGGCAAAAGTTGGAGAGCGTGTCGATTGCGGAAGCAGAAAACCTAGTCATTGACATTGAGCCTAAAGATGTTAGCATCAGCGCGGAGGAGTGCAACCGCATTTTGTTTGGTAATCACGGGGATAGGAAGGCTAACTGGCTTGGATTGCAGCGTACCATGGGTTTGCTATGGAAAATACGTAACTCACTGGAAGTTAGAGAGATTTCATCCAATTATTTTCAGTTCATTTTTCCAACTCGAAATGCTCTCTTGAAAATTGATCTAGGTCGTAGCTGGATGTTTGAAAATCAGCACTTGATCCTAACTGAGTGGACAAAAGGGCTATCTGGTAGCCATGAAAAGTTTGGAGAACTCCTTATATGGGTTCAAGTGTACATGGTGCTGATTAATTGGCTGAGTACGGATGTCGGCCTGAAGATAGAAAGAGCATTCAAAGGAATCCGAAATGTTAATTTGGCGCATGTTGGGAATGGAGGAGGCCGGATTATTCGTATTCAGGTCGTTCTAGACATGAATCAACCGCTCCCTAGGTGGTCCTTCATAAGATTGGGTGAGCAAACAGTTAAAGTCTAGTTTAAATACGAAAAGATTGGAAGCTTGTGTTACTACTGCGGCAAATTGGGACATTTTGATCGAAGCTGCAAGAAGAAAGTTGAGGATATTGGGAATCGAGTAATGAAAGCAGGTCAGTATGGTGATTGGCTTCGTGCACCGGAAGGTTATTCTCTCACAGGCTCCCCCTTGGCTAGTAATAATAGTGAACCTTCTTCCTCTGGAAAGCAGTCTGTGGAAAACTTCATAAACAAGTCTCAGAGTACATCCTCTGGTCTGAGGAATGCTGACCAAATGGTGAGAGCCCCTGCTGGTCTACAAAGAAGAGAACCATCCCATTATCCTTAGGAGCAGGGTATAAAGACTCCTGCTAAATGTCTTTGTGTTGTGGAGTCCTGTTCCTCGGTGTTAGAACAGTTAGGGAGTTGTGCTATGCTTGCTGTTAATGATCCCAACCCAACATCTCTAATTGAACCTGGTAATCTTTTGGATTTTATTCTAGAAGGGGAAGAGCACAAAATGGAAATCATAGAGGCAAATGTCCAGTCCCTGGAGAAAGGGAAGGAAGTAGCTACCACATCTCCTAATCAGAGAAAGTGGATGAGGGCATCGGCTAGAGTGGGGAAAAAAGCAACAGGGTCTCAACTTAAAAGCTCTCACAATGACCCTCAGGGTGCCAAAAGATCCAGACTGCCACTTCAATTTGTTAATAAAGATGGGACCTCAATTGGGGAAGAAGGTAGTATCAGTAAGAAGCAAAAAAAAAAAAAAAAGAAAAAAAAAAGAAGTTCTAGAGGTGGAGGAAGCCAGCCCTAATTGGCCCCAAAGTGCCCAATGCTAGCCCTGGTGTGGAATTGTAGAGGACTGGGAGGGCCCTCTACAATTCCCCAAATTCGAGAGGCAATGCATACTCACCTCCCTCATTTTCTTTTTTTATCTGAAACTAAAAAATCAAAAAAAAAAAATACTGCTTGGTTTTGGAGATAGATATCATTTTGTTGAACCTGTTGGTACAAAAGGTGGCTTGTTGTTGTGCTAGGATCTGCAGGTTGAGATCCTTCAATTAAGGAGTACTGATCCATTCAAATTCAGTTTACTATGACCCAAGGTGAAGCTCCCTGTTGGCTTATTTTTGTTTATCTGAATACTGAGCATTCCATAAGAGCATAACAATGGCATTGTTTGGAGGCTGACAGAAACATGTGGTCTGACTCGTGGTGCATGATAGGGGACTGGAATGAAATCACGAGAGAAGAGGATAAGAAAGGTGGAAGGCCAAGATCATTTAGAAGTATGCAGCCTTTCCTGAATTTTGTTGCTAATATGGGCATGACTGAATTATCCATGGCTGGGTACCAATTCACTTGGTGTAACAATAGAATTGGTGAAGGCATTGTGGAGGAAAAGTTAGATAAAGCATATGGCTCTCTGGGGTGGCTTACCAGATACTCCCTCTCTCAAGTGTCTAATCTGTTCAGAAGTGCCTCAGACCATGGGATGCTTCTTTTTCATTCTGAGGTGGCTAATATCAAGAAGAAGAGACGGTTCACCTTTGACAAGAGATGGGTGCTGAAGCAAGGAATTACTGATACTGTGAGCAAGTCCTGGAGGGTTGAGCAGTTGGGAACTCCATTTTTCAAGCTTAAAGAACAAATCAAAATGACCAAAATTGCTCTATCATTATTGACATCCGGATCGACCTGGCCGGACTTTAATGAGTCGATCCGACGAACTGGGTAGAGCCGGACTTTGGGCCGAGACAGAGCCGAGTAGGGGCGAAAGTGCCCAACTGAGCCGAGAAACTATGCAACCCGGACTGACGGGGATATTTCCCAGGCTTGGCACCCTGCTCAGTAGGGTGCCGGTCACATCAGGTGCCGGTCTAAAAGAAGGCTCCCGAGAATCGCGTGAACCCTTTGGGAAAAAGTGCCGATCAGATAATCCAAAATTGCCCAATCAGAAGATAGGTGCCGACTTCGATATTATTAAAATATTCGCCACTTGGAAGATCATCATTTAGCGATGGGACGGGTTGTCATAGCCTGTCACCCTACAAGCAAGCCTAGTCAAGAAAGCCTATCAGCATTAAATGCCCCTCCTGCTTGCATTAAATGCTTGGCAGGCAATGATTGAAGAAATCTCAAATTGCATTAATTAACTGTCAGGGAGGCGCCGAACAACTACGCAAATCTACTGTGCGACAAGACAGGTGAATAGTGCTTGAACAGTACTTTATTTAAGGATACTATAAATAGCAACTCACTTCATTTATTTTGGGTTGTTGAATCCTCAACTAACTCCAGCTTCTCTCTACTTTCTCTCTCTAAAACTGTAAGAAACTCATTGTAAGAATTGTAAGTATATCACAAGTGCCGACCTCGTACGAGAGGCCGACCTCGTGATCGCCTAATAAAATCGTAATTAAACCACATCTTTCCTTTATTTCCAGTTTTGCACTTTCAATATTTATCATTTTAACCGTTGACCGAAAATGCTCGTCAACAGTTTGGCGTTAGAAAGAGGGCACCATAAGTTACTTGGTGTCAATATTTCGATCTCGTGATTAACACTACATCGCGTTTCTTCCTTTCCTAATCATCTCCACTCCGAAACGTAACCCAAGATGACTTCATCCACTCGCAACGAGTCAACACAGCAGTCTGGCGCCCAGTCTCGCCGGCGCAACGGCGAGGAAACCTCCCGCCGTGTCCAACAGGGGACTCAAGCCCCTGCCCCTCCAGTCCCGACTTTCCCTGCGGCCATGCAACACCCTGACGTTGTCAAGGCCCTCAAAGGGGTCTTCGCAAGGGCGCTCGCCGGTCAAACGGCCGGGGGGAACACTGCAGCGGCCGGGGGCAACACCGTGGCAGCCACGGAAAACCCCGGCAACACAGTACTCCAAACCCCCGCCAAGGAGGCGGAGGGACACAAGAAGAAAAAACCCGCAAAATCTAAGACGACGGCCCAGTCACCCAATCGTGCCGCCCTAGAACGGCGCGAGAGGGGTGCAGGACCGGCGCCCACTGAACAAACCGACGAAAGCCAGCCAGACCGGAGCCTGCAGGTTATTCGCTGATCCGTTTACCAACGTCTAGGCGACAAAAGTAAGGCTAATTGGGACCTCAAGGAGGTCATCGAACGGGGGAAAACCATTGGGCGCGACACGGACGAAGTCGCAGCCCTTAAGCGCAGAATCGATGAACTGGAAGGTCAGCATCAGTCTCAAAGTGAACCGTCGCCTCCGCTCTTTCCACCCCCTCCCTTCTCACGACCGACTCCTCGGATCGTGGATGATGCCTCACTTATCTTCCCTGAAATCTTGCAAGAACCCGTCCCCCAGAAAATCAAAGTCCCTCAGCACGGACTCTATGATGGGAGCTCGGACCCGGACTCTCACATCGGCCTCTACACTTCATGGATGGACCTGCACGGGGCTACCGACGCTCTACGCTGCCGTATGTTCTCCCTAACACTGGGGCCAAAGGCGTAGAGGTGGTACCACTCCTTATACCCTCACTCCATCTCCACATGGGGGCAGCCCAGGTCTGCATTTCGGTCACACTTCATCGGGTCGCAGATCAACCTCGCCCCCAAGGAATCCATCGCCAATATCGTCCAGGGTGAGGACGAAAGCTTGAAAGACTACATCGCTCGGTTCAATGACCGAGTCCAAAACATGGAACAGTGCCACCCAGAGGCACTAGTGATCTCGGTGCAGGCTGGCTGAGGCCAAAAACTTTGTTCAAATGGTCACTTTGCCAAAACAAGCGGACCACGTACCAAGAGTTCTTTATCCACGCCCAAAATTACATCAGGGCTGAAGAGTCCTCGTCGATCCCGGTGCTCGACGCCGCATCGAGCAAAGGCAAGGTGAAAGACAAAAAATCAGGAAAATCAGGCAAGTCGTTTGCTAAGGTCAGAGCCTTGAGGAGGCAGAAGGCGGAGGAGCTCAAGGAGAGCTATCAAGGCGTCTTTTCGGTAGGTGCCGCTGCGGTCTACGAAGAGATCAAGGCTAAGAGGTTGTTGCCAGACTCGAAGTCGATGTTCACAGATAGGGACAAGGTGGATAAGTCCCGATACTGCACCTACCACAAAGCGCACGGGCACAATACCGATCAGTGTCGCAACTTGATCTCGGCGTTGCTCAAGTTGATTGATGACCCACAAGTCAAAAGGTTTACCCACTCAGGGGAGAAGAGGAAGAAGGGAGGCCGTTTTGAGGACGGTCTCGACAGTGAGGAGGATGCCGACGTGAACCCTAGGAGGAAGAAGCCGCAACAGGGCGGCCTCAACGAGATATTAACGCTCAGCCCGGCACATCAAAACGAGGCCGGCACTTCTAGGGACAGAAAGAGAAACCGGTCCCCATTGCCAGAGGCCGATAAGATTTACCTCCCACCTCGGCGCGTGAACACCAACCGAGGTGAATCTCTCCTTTCGAGGAGGCAGACTAAGGCTTATGCCCGGTAGGCCTATTATGTAGGGCAGAGGGTGATGCACGCTGGGAGCAGACCGGCACCTGAGCCAACCCCCAACAAGATCTCCTTCACCGACGAGGATGCGTTCCTGTTTGACCACCCCCACTCCGACGCTTTGGTGATCATGGCGCCGATCATGGCAATCAAGATCCATCGCATCATGGTCGACACCGGGGCCTACGCAAGCATCCTCTACTACAACACCTTCAAGAAGATGGGGATAGACACAAAGGACGTGCAACCATGCCGAGAACGGATACAAGGCTTCAATGGACAAACAACCACCCCGGTCGGTCAGGTCACACTGCCGATCCAGTTCGGAGAAAGGGGGCAGCCTGTTGTGTACAAATTATTCTTTTTACCGAGTACCGAATCGAAAGATTCGTTTCCAGGTCGATCTCACGAGGAAGGCGGTTCGGAACTTAGTTTTGGCATTGATAACACATAAAAAGAAAATAAATCCTAAACACTCTAATCAAATAAAGATTGGATGAATTATAAGCTACGAAATAAATAACAATGCAAAAATGTAAATCTATCTAAGAATATGAATGAAACGAAGATGGAGAAGCTAGGGAATCGAGGATAATTAATTCAAGTTTTAGCAAATTCGAGCTATCAATTATTCAGTTCGAAATTGACACTCTCGCTTATGCATCTAGCGGTTCGCTCCCAATAACTCTTCGTAATAAGGGATTGAACATAGACGAACAAGTTCGAGCATACAGTACAGACCAATTATTCCAATCCCAATAACTTTTCGCAACAAGGGACGGTCATCGACAAGCACGTATTTCAATCTAAAACACATAGATTATTCAATTACGAAGTCATCTACCTCATGTGAGCCTAGGTCTATGACTTTTCCCTTTTCAATTCTAAAAGTCGCTAATTAAATTAGAAGAGTATTAATCGACTAATCACGTAGAATCAACAAACCATAACTCGACTACTCAACATTCAATTGTTACCAATTGCAAGATCGAAGTGTCACCCTTCGATTATATCAATCAGTCAAGCAGGATTACATCAATTCTTAATCAAATTAACCCACACAAGAATGAACAATTCAAGCCCGAGAGATACGAATTAAACAAGAACAATCATCTCCTATCCCTAGCAATTGGAATTAGCTATTCATAACAAATCCAACACAAACAAGCATTTTTCCCAAATCAATCATTTTTCATGAATTAAATATGAGAGAAATACTTACAATAAATCCCAATTCAAGTATCGAATCTGAAGTACAAGCTTATTCCAATAAGTTGATGAAGAGAAAGAAAAGAAGAAAAATGAAAAGTAAAGAAGAAAATAAAGAAGGAAATATGAAGAAAAGAGAAGGAATGAGAAGGAGATTTTTGTGCTTTCTACAAACTAGGGTTCATCTCCTAGAAGGGGAGAGAATAATCCCCCTATCGTCTAAGAAATCTGCTATTTAAAAAACTGTTTTTCGCGTCCTTCGCGGCCGCGGAGCTTCCCGCTGGCCGCGGTGAACAACAGCTCCGCGGCCGCGACTATTCCCGAGGCCGCGACATTTTTCCGCAGAAGGTTGGGCGCTGGCAGTTTTTTGTTCGCCGCGGCCGCGGTGAAGAAATGGGTCGCGGCCGCGGCGAAGAAAACTGGGCTGCACTGCACGACTTTACGATTTTTGCTCGTTCGGGTTTGTTTGAACTCGGAATTGAGTTCCGTTTTTTTCTACGCATCACTAACGAACCCCTCTATCTAACTATGCAAACCCATCAAATATTTTCTTGAAAACCTGTCCTCCCAAAGCTTATGACATGTACACAAAAAACGTGATTTGCGCGACTTTGCTGTTTGAGCCCGTTCGGGCTCGTCCGAGCTCGAAATTTAGTTCCGCTTCTTCCTATATGTCGCTAACGAATCCATCTTCACAACCATGATTGCTCGATCAATTTTTGGGCTAAATCCATTCCTCACGGGGCTTCCGGCCTGCACACCAAAAATAAAAGAAAACCGGAAAACACACAAGAAACAAAAGAAATACCAAAATAGATCAAATCACGCAATAAACTACAAAAACGAATAAAACCCAACGAAAAGACTCAATATGGGGAAAAAGAAAGACAAAAAGACAATGAAAAATGCAACAAAAATGGGACAAACAACTCCCCCACACTTAATCATTTGTTCGTCCCGAACAAAAAGAAAACAAAACAAGACACGAGCATGGATACGATTTCAAATAAGAAGAGCTTCAAAATGCCCAATTCAATCGAGTCGAATTCCAACAAACATACGACCATATGCCTCAAATATCGACTTGGCCATGAAATGACAAACTCTAAAAACATAGATTATCATGTATGCCTCACTCATTTTCTTACATGAATAAGTGATAGGAACGCTCAAAATTGGTCAATATTCAAGTTTCAGCATATGCTTGCCTATCGTTTAAATTACTTGAAAACAATCAAAGTTCAAAATATACGAATCAAGAGGACTTCACGGGTTGTAATGTGGCTGAGGAAAAGGTACGAATATATAAGGACAAGAAGCTCAAATAGAAGATCACATTTCTCGAGTATACTCAAGTATTCCACTACTCATCCAGAATCAACAAGGCAAAACATTTAGCTTTATTGATTTGTATGCTTTAACATCATTGAATAAATCTGTTGAAGTGTTTATGTTTTTTATTTGTTTTTTTGTTGCAATAACGAACCAAGAAAGAAGCTATATAACAAAACCAAATAACTTATTTATTCAAATAACCTAATGGGAAGCAGCCTTATGCTGCTAACAATTATAATTCAAAAAAAAAACATTCATCCTGTCCTAATACAAAAGAAAAGATCAATCATCATGAAATAATAGCTTAAACTAATATCAAATCGTGTAAAAGGTTTTCAACTCTCTTCACTTCTATGAGTAGTGAATGAACCCTCTTTATCAAGTTTTGTCTTTCCTCTATCTCGTGCAATGGACATCAGCGTGTTAGGGTCCTCACTTTTGAATAATTCGTTCAAGTTGCGGACTGTAGATGTTTCACCACCTTTTCCTTTTCTTTGGATTCTTTAAGAGGAGTTGAGACTTCCTCTGTCTCGACATTTGTATCCTATTCAAATTGAATAAATAAAATTAGAATTACACAAAAAAAATATTTAGTAATACCGAAATACAGTATTGTATGACTTGATAGTTGGTGTCTTCTTCTCTGTGCAGTATGGTTAAGAAGTCTGATACCTGAATTTAAAATCATTAAAAAATGTTTATACGATCCGTCATAGTAAAACCAATATAATTTATGTATGATTAAAACTTACGTCATTGTCAACAATTAGTTGGTTGTACTTAAAGATGATCTTGGGGTCAACGCATATCCTACTAATACTATAATTACTCTCTTTAGTGTAGCGTTGAGTCGGTTGAATGCGTATCTTGAATAAAAATGTCTTTCCAGCCAAGTCATCTATATCATTCGGCAACTCGAAACTTTCAGACTTCTAAAAATGAAAATGAAAATTAAAAAATAAGAGAGTAGTTAATTATATTAAATCAATATCACAATATAAATATAAAAACTACGTAGGTTTTCACAAATATTCGAAAATCTATTTAAACAAATGACTAACAACGTAAATATAACAAAATTATTAAAAAATTGAATATCTTTTTAATTGATTCATTCCTTAAAGATTGACATGGCTTGCCAATTAGAAGCTCAGATTCTTTGTCCCAACACACAAAATTTGCAATAGCATTTGAATCCGAAATCATCATATTCAACTTGTACCTACAAGTGTAAATTAATTAGTTATTGTTAAAAGAAATTTAATTAGAACTTATTTAAAAAAACAAGAACAATATCTACTTAAATTTTCCAAGAGTCTTAGAACACTTGGGGCATTTAAAACCATTGTCAGAATTCTGCATTTTACATCTGCAACTGCGGCAAGCAAAATACTACCAATCATCTACAATAGAGTCAATGCGAGCACAGATCCAAATTCTTGGTGACCTTTACAAAAAAATAAAAAAAAAAAGTTTTGTGTTAGGATAAAAAATGCACTCAATTTTGATTATATTTTATTTAAGTACATACCTCCTTGATTTCATAGAGAGAATCAACTGAAGAAACAACACGTCACCCGAATCCAAATCATCTATCTCAGTTTTAACAATTATTTTGGATTTCGAGTTGTAACTCCTATCAACTAATTTACTTCCGGTGTACCTAAATTTATACAAAGTAAGATATTAATCTATAGATAAAATAGATGCATAATAATAAAAATATTTACAACAATACCCTCTCCAAAATTCGATGACCTCCGGCACCAATTCATGTGCAATCAGCTTGGTCACATTCACGGAGGTTGTTACTTGGACTTTTTCTATACATTTAAATTGAATAAAACAGAATGAATATAAATAATTACACATATATGTACTAACTCAGGTCCTCTTTTGCCTGTGCAAATGGCATGATTAGAACATAAGGTTGACCAGTCTGTTCAAATTGGCTCTCAAAAGCCAGTAGTTCGTCTACACATTTTCTCCAGCAATTAATAAGATTTTCACTGTAATAAGCAACAATAAAATTATATTATTTTGGAATTGAACCTTCTTGTGAATCGAATGAATAAATATTTATGCATATATAATTATATATATACGTAATACATACTAATTTATATAAAAAAATATATATACGTATATACATAATAATATAATTGTATATGCTTAATCTACATATTTATGTATATACGTATATACATAATAATATTTTTTGTATATACATAATAATTTATACGTATAATTGTATATATTCGTAATAAATAATAATATATATACGTATATATAAAAGCAAAAAAAAAATACTTACTTCAAATCCATGAGAATGGAAGTCACCATTTGTGTTTCACCTGTTTTCACTTGCTTTGTTTGAATACTTTGAACATCAATAACAACTCAATGACATCTACAAATTTAATATATATTTCATATTTAACAACTAGTACGACA